CATGCTGTAATGTACATGTTCTACATCTGCATGCTGTAATGTACATGTTCTACATCTGCATGCTGTAATGTACATGTTCTACATCTGCATGCTGTAATATACATGTTTTACTCTACATCTGCATGCTGTAATATACGTGTTTTAATGCTGTAATGTACATGTTTTACTCTACATCTGCATGCTGTAATATACATGTTTTAATGCTGTAATGTACATGTTTTACTCTACATCTGCATGCTGTAATATAACATGTTTTACTCTACATCTATATGGTGTTTTAATCCTTAAAATATATTAAATTTCTCCATATGTTGCCTGATATACTTTCTGTCAGTAAGTAAGAGTTTTAAGCATGAAAGATGTATTCAAAAGAACCACTTACTAACCCCCAACATTTGTTTATGAAATAGAAAATGTGGTCACTTATATACGTTTTCAAGGAGTACTCCAGCTACCATGTGGTAACTTGTGTAAATCGAATTGAAATATGCTTGTTTGTTGTTAAGCTACACTGTCTGTGTTCTGCTTCTATAAATGTTTTACAATATTGTCTCAATATATAATACTAGCATTTTTCTATGAAAATCGTTCTTATAGGATTAATAGTTATGAAAGGATTTATTAGATAAGATTATGTTTCTCGAATATATCTGAATCATTTGCTTTACTAAAATGAGTAAAAATAACTGTTTATTCTGTCAGACACTCTTTTTAAGTATATGATTTTTTGGAATAGGTACAACTAATTATCAGGTACACACAAGTTTTTCATAATTTAATAGATACAACTAATTGTCAGCTACACACACAAGTTTTTCATAATTTAATAGGTACATCTAATTGTCAGCTACACACAAGTTTTTCATAATTTAATAGGCACATCTAATTGTCAGCCACACACAAGTTTTTCATAATTTAATAGGTACATCTAATTGTCAGCTACACACACAAGTTTTTCATAATTTAATAGATACAACTAATTATCAGCTACACACACAAGTTTTTCATAATTTAATAGGTACAACTAATTGTCAGCTACACACACAAGTTTTTCATAATTTAATAGGTACAACTAATTGTCAGCTACACACACACACACACAAGTTTTCATAATTTAATAGGTACATCTAATTGTCAGCTACACACACTAAGTTTTTCATAATTTAATAGATACATCTAATTGTCAGCTACACACACAAGTTTTTCATAATTTAATAGATACAACTAATTGTCAGCTACACACAAGTTTTTCATAATTTAATAGGTACATCTAATTGTCAGCCACACACATAAGTTTTTCATAATTTCAATTATTCCACTCACGACACGATAGTGTGATGTCAACCATATACAGAAACTTTTCATAATTTAAAGTTTTCCAATCATCATACGATAGCGTGATGTCATGTTGTACTCTCGTGTTCAGGGTTCAAGGCTGTATCACGTGGAACGGTATATTTGAATTGTGAAACTTTCTGTGATATATAGCTTAAAACTTATAATCTTTTAACGTTCACCTTTCCATTTTTTTGGCGTGCAATAAAGGTTAGCGTTCCCAGTCTGTGAATATGAGGATTCACAAACTAATGTACTTCACACTTTAGGACTGTGAGTGGACTCTTACAGTGACTGTCCAGTCTCACTATACGATCAGTCAAGAGTATCCCAAGAATTGGCGGTGGGTTCTGTTAGTTAGCTGCATTTCCTCTAATTTACTACTTCAAAGTTGGGGACAGCTATGTAGCAAATAGCCCTTGAATGAATTCCGAAGCAAACAAACAAACCATTTTCTTGTATGTATCATTTTAAAGAAGCAGAGACTAAGATTTCGTCTTCGCTACTAAGTGCCTTAAGAAATTTAGGTTTGAAAAACAACTACAGGCTCGTACGCAGAATATTTGAAAGGGGGGAGGGTTATAATCTGTGAGATCAAAACCCCCACACATACTGTGCGAAGCACAATCAGCATGTTAATGTTACGGGGGTATGGGGGCATGCCCCCCAGAAAACTTGTAAAAAAAATAGACGCCATAAGATTAAATCTGGAAGCAATTTTGCATGAAATATAGCTTAAACAACTGCATGGCTGTTCACATAAAATCCACAAACACCCAATGAAAAGTCAATAAACGTTTTAAAACAAATGGACTGTGATGCTGTTTGCTTGTTGTTGAAATTTATCGCCAACAAGTCGAAGACACCTACTGTAAAGAATCCGGCCTACAAATCCTGACAGTAGCAATACGGCTTCGGATTCCAAATTACAAAGTGTCAATAGAAGCCATTTTATGCGACTATTTCAAGCCAAAAAATGGTAATGCTTTTTTAGATGAAATATAGAAAACGATAAATACCATAAGCAGCTACGTTATAAATATATAAGCATATTTTTTTACGTCACAAAAATAGCCGGTTCGGCCGATCCCCCGAGTACATGCGTGAACTATACAAGTTAATTGAGCACAATGTCTTAAAAATAGAGACACGTTCGTGTTTTTGTTTACAGCGTTATGTTTTGAACAGAAAAAGATAAATCCTATGCTTAACAGAATAAGTTAATTTACCCAAAAATATTCAGATGGTAATTTGTCGGCTTCTTTTATGTTGAATGTATATTAGATACGCATCAAACTTCGTTACAGACTAATTCGCTCGTATTGGTGCTTGTTTATTTGTAATTAAGCACAAAGCCACACATAGGGCTATCTGGGCTCTGCCCACCACGGGTATCGAAACCCGGTTTCTAGCGTTGTAAGTCCGCAGACATACCACTGGGGGAGGAAGTATTGGTGCTCGACAGAGTTGCCACTGTAGAAGAAAATGGTATAATTTGAAGATATAAACTCATCCTTTAAGAATCAGACGAATATACAAACAGATACAGAAAAAGTACTAAAGACTTTGTTGGATTTGTCCTTGTAAGGAAATGTGACATATAATTAATTAGTAACGTCTTCATGAAAACATCATCAAACTTTTCCTTGTCTAAACGATAAAAAAAAGTCAAATATTTAGGTTTTTTTTATGCCTTTCTCACTAAGTTACGTGATAAAGTCTTGGAGGCGGAAAATCAAAGTTACAGTCGACCTTCGACTTCCAAGATTATTTAATACGATGAGATGAGGAAAAGTTTGAAGAGTGTACCGGTTTGTTTCCTTCTACTTACAGGAAAATTCACGACCAGAAAATTGATGTGTGCTTTTTAAACCAAACTAACGAAGCTTGTGAAAGACACTAGAGTCTTATTAAAAGGAAAATTCATGCGTATGAATTTTAATCGTTAAATTCAGTGGCGCCAAACATCGCCTTTAGTCTATATTTAAATCAAACTAAATTAACACCAAACAATATGTTTAGTCTGTATTTCACTCTAAGTTACGTTTGTACCAAAAAACAACATTAGTCTGTGTTTCACTCTAAGTTACGTTAGTACCAATAAACAACATTAGTCTGTGTTTCACTCTAAGTTACGTTTGTACCAAAAAACAGCATTAGTCTGTATTTCACTCCAAGTTACATTAGTACCAAGAAATAAGATTAGTCTGTGTTTCACTCTAAGTTACGCTAGTACCAATAGACAACATTAGTCTGTATTTCACTCCAAGTTACATTAGTACCAAGAAATAAGATTAGTCTGTAGTGTCGATTACTTCCACTTTGTTTACAGTGTTGATGGCCATTCCAGAGAGCAGGTAGATAACGAATCATCCATTATTCCAGAAAAAAAAAAACAGGATTTCATAGTTTCCATTCACGTCTAGTTTATTTCTGTTTGCTGGAACAAAGATCGTGTCAACTGGCCTAAGTGGTAGTTTCACAAGGGGTACCTGACATAGCGCGTAAACGGGATAGTTCTACCTACTCACTAGGTATCAGTGTGGTTGGTTTGTTAAACCTTGGCTGGATTCAGACTAACCTAGCAAGACGTGGGCTCCTGAGTAGGACGGTCTGTCCGAAGTACAGTTACTACAGATGATGCTATAGGCTTTGATTTCTTTGGTACAGTTACTACAGATGATGCTATAGGCTTTGATTTCTTTGTTACAGTTACTACAGATGATGCTATAGGCTTTTACTTCTTTGTATCTGGCTCGAAGTTACTTCATCATGATAGAAACCGAGTGAAAATATCTCTCATACTTTATCAAGTTATGCTGAGGTCATTGCAGTATACACAATGTCATGCAAATGGTGCAAATAATCTTCATAAGAGGTTAAGCTTTTCATGATACTCCTCTCCTGAGCCTTGAATTTGAATGTTCTGTTTTCCACGGGCCAAATCTTGACAGTCTTGCGATCCTAGACCTGTTCCTTGTTGACGTTCTCGATGGAGTTTAGGGCTGGACTGTCTAAACTTAGAAACATGTTGTACATAAGATATAGCAAACTCCACAATAATGATATCCTACGGTCACGGCAACAGAATATTCTCCTACCTATCCACTCTGATATATCCAGGTAAAACTGAATCAACATTCGGACTATTGGATAGCTCTACTTAATAACTGGAGATGCGATCACGAGGTAATACTAAATCTATTACTGATTCGTGATATGATAAGCTTCCTTATCAAAATAAAACACAAACCTAGTGTGTGTGTGATTGTTGTTACAATCTCTTTCACTGGCTCTTCTATATTCAACTCTTCTAGTTACCAGACTTTCTAAATCCTTTACAAGAACCGTGATATTTAACCATGGCGACTAGCGCTATTCACGTAACTTGATGTCATTTGAACGACCATTGAAAGACACACTAGTATTGCAGTAATATCCACGGACAGAGAAGGTATTACCCACTCGAGAATAAAGGGACAAACGTAGCTAGAACGAAATATAGTTAATGTTTTTCTAGTCCACGTGCTATATGAAATACATGGTATATTCATATACTACGACAGTGTAGGTGTAGGGTGTTTTTTCAATAAGTTTTCCGAGTTAATGAGGCAGTTTCTCTTGTCTATTAAATTCATCTATCGAATGTCTATTTTTTTGTTAAAATCTTCTGCCATAGAAAGTGAAATTGGCATATTTATATACAGAATGTGATTTAAACATTGTGTTTTTTCTACACATTTAAGAAAATTCCAGAAATTTTCGCGGAAACAAACTTGCGAGTTGTAAGTCTACGGATTTACAACGCTAAGTTCAGGGGTTCGATTCCCCTCGGTGAACACAGCAGATAACCCAATGTAGATTTGCTATAAGAAAACACACATACTTACGAGTTCCTAAAATCTAGATTATTTTTACTCATTTAACAGTATTAAGTCTCAGCTATCAGAGTTCTCTAAATAATAATAACCATTTTCATTTTTTAATAAATAACAATAAAACACTTTTACTACAGGGAAGGAAATGATCCAGACGACTACTTCAGTGTTAGCTACTCCCAACTCCTTAGGGATGTTTGTAAATTTGGAAACGTTTTGAAACGGAAAGGTAAGGCTTTTTTTTTTCAGCGCTTTTTCTTGCGATGTCTATGGCGAAACTTAAATTTCTTCATCAGTGTTTTTATGGTTTGTTTATTTTAATGAGTATCAAACTTTCTGTCTATAAGCATGCTCGTTTAAAACAATAAGATATGCTAGGTTCCAAGTTATTCAAGCGATTAATTTCATATATATTATGTCAGTATAAAGTATCAGTACTATCTTGAAGTCTGAGAAACCAATAACCATTTCTGTCTTCTTTCTGTCACCGGATAACATGACAGATGTTTTGCTTCCTCTAATCTGTTTTCTTTTTCTTTTTTTTACAATAGGGCGCTCGATTCGCAATCTGCGGGTCAAGGGTTCAAATCCCCGTCACCTGTTCGCCCTTTCAGCCCTGTGAACGTTGTAATGATACGGTCAATTCGTTGTTAAAACGGTAGGCCAAGGGTTGGCGATGTTGAATAGCTGCCTTTCCTCCAATCTATCACTGCTATATTATGGTCGGCTAGCGTAGATAGCCCTCGAGTAACTTTGCGCAAAATTTAAAACGAACCAAACGAAACTTATTTGCATTAAGCTCACCTAGACATGATACTTGTTGAGATGTCTGGTTTACAATGGTGTCTTTTGTTGTGAGAGAAAATGTTAAAAACTAAGTTGTTTTTTTTTACAATAAACCATATTTGTAGGTGTAACTAAGGGAGATCGTGTAGCCATTTATATGCCCATGATAAAAGAACTTGTGGTGGCCGTACTGGCGTGTGCTAGGATAGGAGCTGTTCACTCGGTTGTTGTAAGTTTTAATTTACTGAAGTTGTAGTTTTGTTACATACGTATTATAAAGTTAAGTAAAAGAAATCTTCTTTTGATTAATTCATTATATGAATTTCATAAGCATGTGGATTACTCGAGCAGAAGTCTTTTAATAAGGTGCTGTTATTGAAAATGAGAAGTTAATATTTATAGCTTTTAGAAGTTCATACTTTTCTGAGATTATAAATATCATGACATGTAACACAGAAAGTTGTATGGTTATGTTGTTTAATCGTTGAACTAAATTATAACTTAATCCACTTTGTGTGTATATTTCACCGGACTGTATTTGTGTCTACAAAACGTGTGTGTATTTGTGTAGTTTGCTGGTTTCTCTTCGCAATCCCTAGCAGAGAGAATTGTTGACGCCCAATGTTCTATCGTCGTTACTACAGGTAAAAATCTTTAGGGATGCATGTTTTGTTCTTATAAGCTGTCTCTTATATATATATAATCTTTCCAATTATATGTTATTATTCTTATAAACATCATGCCATAATTAAATGTATCATTTGATAACAAAATGACAGAGGAACATAAACATTTTACGTGACAAACTCATACTGGAAGCTCTGTTGTATTTTTTATCATTAGTTTCGGGTAATAAAATGTTATAACGGTTTCTATTATTGGGCAGGTTCTTTCGGACTATTCAGTAAAAAGAAGATTGCAAGTTCAAGTCCACTTAATGATAGCACACAATTTTATTGCTACAAATTCTACAAGTTTCATGGTTTTGCATAACAAACGCTAGGCCTAATTTCATGAAGACTTGTTTGCTGGTTCCTCTGAATGATAGTAAAGTTTATTCAAGTAAAAATAATAATAAATAATTGGTGTCATAAATAATAACAAATCATATTGTGCTATTAGTCCTTATCAAAATTCTGATTTGTGAATTACTTAAAAATCGAAAATAATTAAACTTCTAATATAATCTAGTTCTCAACATAACAGTTATTGTTAATGAAACTGATAAAATAAATACTCTACGTCTGTCGTATCTCATCCGGCCTGGTAATGGGCGAAAGACACCGTCGGCACTGAAATATGAATATGGTAGATATAGTGTGATTGACATATTGTTATGTATTTTTTCTTTGCTTTCACTCACGAGTTCTTAGAATTCACAGTCACTTACTAACTTCACTCGTACCTACGGAACTTTCTTGCATCTCTAATGCTTTGTCGCAAACAAAAACCAAAAGTTTAAAGTACTAAACTAACAAAATGCTGAAAGCAACAAACAAGCTGGCTAAATCGTGCTCTGATTACCCGTTACCTGAACTACGGATTCACTCGCTAATTCTAGCTTAAATTGCTCTTTGTACCTGACTCAAAGTATTTCTTAAACTTTTGAAAAGATTCTAGACACCAGATCACATCTATCTCGTTACATCAACCTCCCTCCGGCCAAACAACAATACAAATCTTTAGAAACGTTTAGATTAAAAACATAGCCTAAAACGCAAAGGAAGAAATGAGTACATCTGGATTTACCTTACCAACCAATGAGTCCATTCTAGCTCATATTTTTTATTGAATCGCATATTTCAATAAAAAGGTAAGATTAAACGTGACCTTTAAAGGTTAATTAAAGATCTATTGTGATGATGTTAAGTAACTGAAAATGAGATTTATTATTAGGATCGGAGCACGGAGGTAACTATGTGATAGCTAAATTCCAACTGCTACTTCATACTGTATGAAGATGATTAGGGTTAGCTTTTGGCTACTGTACGAAAAGAATAAAATAAACTGTTTTAAAAGAAACCTCTCAGAGCACCCTAAGTTCATAATAAATTTTGTATCCTGTTTGACAAAGGAATTTTTATTCAACAACAGAAATCTAGCTGTGCAAAGAATAAAACAGATTTTATATTAAAATAAAAAAGTATGCGTCTACAGTGTAATGAAATACAGAAATACAATATACTATCTTATTCTTATCCTGATTCCAAGATAGACGTTTGACTAAAACGTTGACCATCTCCTGTTTCCTTAAATCTAAAAATATCAATAAAAAACGAGGTTCTGGTTTCCCCAACCTTTTTGTTTTTCTAACCGTTTGTTCTTTCGAGGCTTAAAAACATCCCTACTCACTTACTTCCCATATTTTGTTGGTTGGGAAACCCGAACCTTAAATATATTTAGGCTTTACAGCAACTTTAACCAGTTACGGTTATATATTATTCATGTACCACAACGATATAAATCATAATGCACAGGCTACATAAAAAAGACAAAACAAGTTAATATGTAAAACATACATAAGTTAGTCTAGCTTTACTCGTCATTAGTTCATTGTTAAGAACCCCATTGGATACAAATATTTTCTTTGATACAGTATAAATTATTCCGTAATAACAAGATGTTATTTAAAAAAACATTAAGTTTTTATTATTATTTTGTAAGCAGGTTTATTTATCTGACTATTTCACCACTAGATGGCGCATGGAGAGGTACGAAGTTACTAAATTTGAAGGAAATCGTTGACGAAGCTTTGAGATATTGCAATGAAAAGTAAGACTTCCAAGCTTGTTACATACCGATCATGTTTATCTTTACTGTACTTACTAACTTCAACCTCTTAAGAGTTTTTTTTTTTATCGCTACCACCTGACGTGAGTTTATACATACTAATAATGATAGTGAATGTGATACTGTTTCTAAAGAAAGATATTAAAATGTGTAGTATCTGACAAGACACCCCACTTTAGTCTTAGGACAGAACTGTAAACTGAAAGAAGATCCAATTAAGGTTATTTTAAGTTCAACCTTTAGAGCAATAGGTCTTTACACAATCCTTGTGTAACTGTAGCTACTTAAGTTGATATCAGTCTGAATATTTCAAAATTGTCTGCACTTTTTTTGGCTTTTGTAACACAAGTCATATTAAACACATTTAGAATAGCCTGTGGTTGGCACCAGATTAACTTTCATTTCTCTCTCTCATATGATTGGTGAGTTTTAATTTTTATCGTTACATTTATACAAGATAAATTTTAAAGTAATCATAATTTGTTTGCTCTGCAGTATATACATCAAAATTAAAATATGCATTATGTTTTCATGATTAAATCTATTTGCTCCATTTCCAGGTGTATTAATTAAAAAAATATTTATTTCAGTTCATACATTTTTTAAATCGTATATTTTAATTTTGGGTTGATTTCAAGTTTTCAACGCGTTCGAAACAACTTTTTGACTTTCCTGAATTTTTTCTGAGCAAGGTACAGCACTTGTAGCGCCTTAGGAGGAAAGTCGATATAGTGTTAGACAAACTATAATTGATTTGACCTTTTCGATAAAGTTAAAAACAAAACTATTATTACTCTCCAGATTAGCTTTTCCCAACCAGCGGTTCGCGGACCCGTAGGGGTTCGAGTCAATTCTGAGGAGTTTGCGATAAAAATTTGGTAATGGCGTCTTTTTTTTACTTTCCTGATTTTACAATGCTTACTCTAATTTCCTTTTAATGTATTAAAATATTGATGGAAGGAAACAGCTTGGTGCCGAGTCAGATTTAAGACTTCTGTTGAATCGAACTTTAAAGCAACGTGTTCTTCAAAACAAGCCCAGAAGTCTCGTTAGTTTTAGTTAATTAAGTGGTTTTCTTTTCAATTTTTTTTCCAATAATTATATTTCACTTTTACTGGGTACTAACTGTAAACTGGTGACATTATCAAAGATTCAGATTTTATTGTAAACGTGTTACAGACTATGTATTGTTTATTTTACAAAAATTATTACTGCCTAAACGGGTTCGGTGGGAAAACTATTATTACTCAAGGGGTTCACGAAGAGAAAAACTGAAGGGGGGTCACAACCGCTGCTCCAGATAATTAAAAAAAAACAATTTATCTTTTTTACTCCATCTTACGTTTCGTCATTGTAGCTTCTCCGGAGATTGTACAAAAATTAATATTGAAATAAAACAACTACAGAGTTTTTTTTTACCTGACATTTCGGTTCACAACTTTTTTTTTAGAGTCCTTGAGTGTCACAGGTTTACCTTGTAACTTTAACACAAAATTATATTTATAGCCAATCACTGTTTCTCAGCCTCGGTTGTCATGGTGTGATGTAAATACTTGTATTTCAGGATAAACAAGTCATGGGCTAGTGATTCAGACACGTAATGAAAACTTTCCTACTTTCAATTCTATAAGTCAACATGGCGGAGTTTCGCTTAGAGATAAAAAAAAAGAAGATAAGAGCTTAACTTGCTGATATGTTGCATGAAGAAAAGATGTCTGTGAATAACTTCTGCCTCATGTGATTCTCTGAAAAGCTTGCTTTATCATTTTATTTTTAATTTAAATTATGATGTTGCAATATGATTTTCGTGAAATAATTAGGCTTAGTTAAATCATTTTGCACTCGAATTTATCAAGTAGTTTCGTTTCGCCGACAAGGCCTCTGTGTAAGGCCGTATTTACATCAGGCCATATCCGCCTAAGTATCTGCTTGAATGGGCAAAGAAAATCACCGAAAAGAAATGTAAAACACACACACACATATATATATATAAATTACTTAATTAATATAAAAATAGTAAACTTGATACCTTTATTAAATCAAATCTTCTGATTACTTTTTTTGTTTTTAGTTCGGCTTGCTTATAATTTCGGCATGGTATAAAATTATTTGTATTAAGCGCCACTGATCATAGCACGGTGAAACTTCGTACACTATATTTTGAATTAAAAGAAAGATAAAATTTACGATTTTATGAAATAAAAAAGTATAGGAAACTCTTAGAAAAATGTAGGAAGATATAAAATTAAAGTTTTCAACCACAAGTAAGCATTTTTAATTGTTTCTTAAATAAAAATAATGACAATGAAGTTTTTCTTAAACTGCCAAGAACATAATTCTGATAGAACAACTTGTTTGTTGTCAAGCGTAAAGCTAAAGAATGGGCTATCTGTGCTCTGCCCACCATTCGTATCTAAACCTGGTTTTTGGGAAAGGATAAGCTGTAAGACCACCTTAATGAAAAATTACAAAATAATAGGTTTATATGAAATAACTAAAGTCACTGTTGTCATAGTAACACAGTTTCAACCATGTTTTTTCATTATTTTGCCCCACCCTCTAACCTGGCCCTGATGTAATAAAACGAATTAATTTGACTCACTCGTGCTACTAATTTACATTTGATAACGTTTAATCTTTGTAATGAGTTCACTACTTGTTAATTATTAACTTGTTTTTTTAACAAGAATTAGAACAGGTGTAGATAAACAAATTTTGAGTTGTTTAAATGTATTTCTGCTAAATGCTGATATCTTGATAGGGGACATACTGTGAAAACAAACATTGTATTTAAGCATGCTGGGCCAAAGGAAGGTCAAGGACAGAATGGGAGAGTAACTCTTCCTGGAACACGACCTGTATATGAGTTCAAGGTAAAATATGAAATAACAGACTGAAGTATTGGGATTCATTAGAGATGTTATTATTGGTTTTAAAATTAAGATACCACTGTGAAATGGTTTTACCAAAAGAAAAGCAGGCCTAGAAGGCTGTTCCAACAGTATTAAAATTTCATCAAATGTGGCTTCACAAGGATTTTTATTAATTTCCTACAGAAATGTGTCTAACGTGCAGTCGTTAATGGTAAAGAAACTTTTACTTTAGCTCACAGGTTAATAAATCTTTACTCTTAAGGAACTTGTTGGGTTTCAAGGTATAAGAATTACTCCGCTTTTTGTTTTATCTCTTTAATTACTCTAGACACCCTGGAACCCAAATGTTGACTGTTGGTGGGATGATGCAATGGATGATGTCTGTGACGTCTGTGATCCAGAGTGGATGGATGCTGAAGATCCATTGTTTTTATTGTACACCAGGTAACTATAAGAGGCTTTTTAAACTGTTTTTATTGTACACCAGGTAACTATAC